TTAGCCAAACAAGATTGAGTCTCTCTCAATTATAAAACTAATTCAAGATAACAACTTATTCTTATAATTAATATAAAATATTCTAACCCTTCCTTCGTATGAAAGATTGATGAATATTTGAAGCAAAATATAATGAGTGGCATAGAGCTATGTAAAGGGATACATTATCTTTTTATTTATATATAAATATATTTTTTAAATCTTTAAATTTTTTACTTTATTACTGAATACGATAATTTATTATTAAAAAAAGAAAAACATAAATAAGTGTGGTTCTAAATACTATATATTTAGAAAATGGACATAAAATATTATTCGAAATCATATAAGAAAACAATGATCAAACAAATAAGATAACTAATTTCCAAGTGAAGTTGAAGATGAATTTAAGAGCTAAAAAATTATAGAAGTTAATTTAAGTTCCAATATGTTAAAATTTTACTTTCCTTCTACCATTAATGATAGAATATATTTTTTCAACATCCCATTAATTATGTAAAATTTAGTTCCCTTTTAGTTTAGTATTTATAAAATAAAATAATATATTTTATTTTATTTCTTTTTTTCTCTATCAGTTATATAATCTTTTATTTATTCAATATATATAAGAAACAATATAATGATCCAATCCAATAAATTTAATTTATTGATTTCTCATTATTTTTTCCATTTCACAACAAAATACTCCAATAAGTATAAATATAAAAGATCATCGTAAGCACTCTTTCCTTCCTCTTCCGATTAGAAGTTTTGAATTTAAATATTTCTTTTCTTCTATCCGAATGAAAAACTATTTCAAGACTCAATTATGAAATCTATAATCAAAATTATTATTAGAATTTCTATTAAAAATCAACAAATTCAACACATAATTTTTCCTATGTATATACACATAAAAATAAATATTGATTTAATTTTTGACAAATAAAATTATTTCTCAGACAATAATATTAGTTGCGCAGCCAACAAAAAAATTATTTTAAAATAAATACATAACATAATTTTTTAATGAAATAGACCTTGTTTGAATATCGTAACATGGACAACGAAAAAATTAAAATATGGCCATAAGGTATTTTCGCCACATATGTGTGGGCACACCAATTACAAGTTGCAATTTAAATATCTAATGCAACGTGGAAAAAATGACAAAAATAACTTTGATATTATTGTAGAAAAATAAAATAAAAGAAGATAAAAAAAGGGGAAAACAGTACATGAAAAAGATTTATGAAAAGTGGAATTATCAAAGTATTCCCTACCATTATAATTTTGTGGTTGTTACAAACTTACTTTTTTTTTCTTGTAATTGGTATCACAAATTAAACTCATAAATAGACAATTATATACAAATCACTACTTTTTAACAACCAAAAAGAGAAAAAGATTTTTAGTCACCATGACTTATTATGCTTATAATCGTAGTGTCGAATCAGTTTTCACATATTTTAATATTTGTCATCTTCTACTAATAACAAATACGAAATAATTATGTTCATAAAACTGACAAAAAGAAAAATTAACCTAAATATTTTTATCTCCACTAAAATTTTAAACTAGAATTATATTCTAACTTTTACTCTTTCTATTTTAGTTTATATACGAACGTATCATCTTTATTAGCTATTTTCTAATTTATTTTCTGATATTTTAAAAATAAATAAAACATATTTTTTTATTGTTTGATAGTCAAAGTGGAAAATAATTTCTTTACCTTCTTTCCAATTCCCCTAAATTCCCCTACTTCACCATGCATTAGAATAAAAATCTACATATCAAATAAATAAACTTATGATATATGATGATTTGAAAATAATGAATTAGCTAGGAGTTATCAACACGTTCCGTGACTAATTTCATATTTTTCTTTGTGAAAAAGCACAAATACCCTTTAACCTATGCTCAAAATCTTAGAGACACATTTATATTATACTAAGGTTCTATTACCCTCCGGAACTTATTTTATAAGTAGTTTTCTATCCTTTTTCGGCCTATGTGGAACTAGCTTGAAAAAAAAGTCAACCAGCGCTGAGCCCACAAGATAGTGTCACGTAGGCCGAAAAGGGGTAAAAAATTATTTCTAAAATAAGTTCAGGAGGTAATAGGACCTTAGTACAATGTAAGTGTGTCTCTGAAATTTCATGCTTAGATTGAAGGGTTACTTGTGCATTATTATTTTATTTTATTTTTTGGTTTAATGATAAGGTTCTAAAGGTATACAATTAGTATAACATATTTAAATTTCAAGTTATAAAATTTTAAATTAACCAATGAAATGTTAAAGACATGCTAAAATCATAAATTTTGAAAAAAAATCTTTAAAAAAATAGCTCTATTCACATGAATTATTGAAACAAAAGTGACTAATAGAAAAATTAATTAGGTGAACAAAGATAGGGTGAAGGAGATAGAATCATATGAGGGAATGAGTAAGCATGCATGTTAATGGATTTTTTTTTAATTATTGAAGCTTATCTAATGATCTTTGAGATCTATGAGCCACTATAATGTTCACCTAACTCTATAATTATTGGTATATATGTCTCTTTGGCACTATCTAGTATAATTATTTGGAGAATCAAATATATTCTTATTACCTTCTTTGTTAATGTATATATATAAAAGAATTTCATATTTGGAGAAAAATTCTTTTATATGTCTTATTAAAAGAATTTCATTTTATGTTTTTGAAAAATTGGGACAAAATTGTTTTCTTTTGTTAAAGAAAGAATCTATTCATGTGCAATTATTAGTTTTTTAAATTTATCTTGAGAAGCATATACCTAAAAGGGAAAATTACGCAACAAAGCAAATTTATACTATTTAATTACTCATCATAGCTATAGTTTGCTATAATTACCACCCACGACTAACATTATACATGAATTATGTGGGCTGACTTCGAGTTTATGTCATTAGTCACGTTTGTATATGTATAATTCGTCAGGATATACAAATCCATATGTATAATATACAATTATTTAACCTATATACATATAAGATTCACCTCTCTCCCACTCTCTCTCCTCTCTCGCTCACCTCTCTCCTCCCTCTCCCGATCTCGCTTGCCCTATATACAAATGTATATGTATAATATACAATTATATACATATACAATTCACTTCTCTCCCACTCTCTGCCCTCTCTTGCTCTCCTCTCTCCTGCCTCTCCCAATCTCGCTCGTCTCTGTTAAGAAACTGAATTGGAGAAAGAAAACTCCATTGAAGAGTAAAAGGATGAACAGAGAAGCTATGAGGAAGAGGAGGAAAAATCTGATATTGAAACTTAACCGTACTAATGCTACTTACAAGCATATATAATGACTCAAAACCCCAACTAATTTATTGACCTTTTCTAACAAACTAACTAACTAACTATATTTACACTCTTAACAATGTGTAATTACAATTAGTAATGCTAGGGAACTTGTACACATTTAGTTAGTTCTTTTACACACCCCCTTCAAGCTAGGAGCTATGAAGATGTTCTTCATTCCTAGCTTGGACATTAGATACTTATGATGGCCTTTTCCAAGTGCCTTGGTAAGCATATCTGCAGGCTGTTCTGAAGATGGTAGATAGGCAGTGATAATCATTCCATTCTTGATCTTCTCTCTAATGAAGTGACAATCAATATCTATGTATTTTGTTCTTTCATGAAACACAGGATTGGCTGCAATTTGCAATGCTGAAGTACTATCTGAATGAATAGATACTGGTAAAGAGATAGCAACTCCTAATTCCTGAAACAAACCAACAGTCCAAACAATCTCTGCAACAGTTAAGGCCATGGCTCTGTACTCAGCCTCAGCTGAACTTCTGGAAAATGTAACCTGCTTCTTAGACCTCCATGAGATAAGTGATTCTCCATATTTGATTAAGTAATCAATGATTGACCTCCTGCTGTTTATGCATGAACCCCAATCAGCATCACAAAATACTTGTAAACTATCTCCCCCAGTTGATGACATTAGAATTCCCAAATCCTGGTTCTGTCTTCAAATATCTGACCAGTCTGAGTGCTGAATTCATGTGTGAAATTTTTTGGTGCATGCATAAATTGACTTAGACATTGAACTGCAAAAGATATGTCTGGTCTAGTGGTGGTGAGATACAATAACCTTCCAATCAATCTTTGATAACTTGCAGGATCCTCAAGAAGTGTATCATTATGTGAAGAATCCATGTGATCATCATATTCTGTGGAAGTGAGTTTTAAATTCATTTCCATAGGTGTTGATACTTGGTTTAGCACCTGATAATCCCATGTCAGCTAGTAACTCTAAAGTATACTTCCTCTGGTGTATGAGTATCCCACTGTCACTTCTAGCAAACTCCAATCCAAGAAAGTATCTTAGTTCTCCTAAGTCTTTAATCTTGAATACATGTTGCAAAGCTGCTTTAGTCTCATGAATCATATTGGAATCATTTCCTGTTATAAGTAAATCATCTACATACACTAATACCACTTCTAATCTGTTGTCCTTCCTTTTAGTGAACAAAGAGTAGTCTCTATTGCTCTGAATGAATCCTGAATCAATCAAGGTAGTAGTTAGTTTAATATTCCACTGTCTTGAAGCTTGTTTAAGGCCATAAAGAGATTTCAACAATCTGCAAACTTGATCACTGCCAACTTTTCTATTAAGACCTTCAGGTGGTTTCATATATACTTCTTCATATAAATCTCCTTGTAAAAATGCATTGTATACATCCATCTGATGTATTATCCAGTGATTAGTAGCTGCAATAGATACAACAGACCTCACAGTTGCCATCTTCACCACTGGAGAGAAAGTTTCTTGGTAATCAAATCCTTCCTTTTGATTGTACCCCTTAGCAACTAGTCTAGCCTTGTATCTCTCTACACTTCCATCTGCATTATATTTGATCTTGTATACCCATTTACAACCTATAGCCCTTTTATCCTTAGGCAATGTCACCATTTCCCATGTGCCATTATCTTCTAGTGCTTTGATCTCATTCTTCATAGCATCTATCCATCTAGGATCTTGTACCTGCCTCTAAGTAACTTGATGGTTCAGTTTCAACAGAAAACTTTGACACAAAACTTTGATATGTAGGTGATAATCCTTCATAGTCTAAGACTGATGCAAGAGAGTAATTACATTTCTTAGAACCAGCTGTGACTACATAGTCTTTGTGCCAAATAGGAGGCCTAGAGTTTCTGCTTGATTTTCTTAAAGGTGGTGGAGTAATGTCACATGAAACTTGTGACAAATCATTTACACAATCCTCACAATTCTGAGAAGAAGGAGAACCACTGTCTTGGCAAACAGTTGAAGAAGTAGAATCTGCAACTAGGACATCATAATCAAACATATCTCCAGGTTGTACTAGCTGATTCTGTTTAGGAGTGTGATCATGAAAAGGAAAGACTGTTTCCAAGAAAGTTACATCCCTGCTAATGAAGAATCTCTTGTTTTCCAAATCATACAGCTTGTATCCTTTTTGAGTCGTACCATATCCCATCAAAACAGCTCTAATTGCCCTTGGACTAAACTTATCATGTGTAGTAATGTTAGTGGCAAAACACATACATCCAATGACTCTCATGTAGTCTAAAAGAGGAGGTCTTCCATATAATCTCTCAAAAGATGATACATTCCCTAAAGTTGTAGAAGGAATTTTGTTCAACACATGAGTAGCAGCATGAATACATAATCCCCAAAATTTGTCAGGAAAACCAGCTTGAAATTTGATAGCTCTTGCAGTTTCTAAAATATGTCTGTGTCTTCTTTCCATTACCCCATTTTGTTGAGGTGTATATGGACAAGAACTCTCATGAATGATGCCATGAAGTTTAAACAAATCATCACAATTGGTATTGAAGAATTCAGTGCCATTATCATATCTTATCCTTTTAATCCTCTTATCAAACTGAGTTTCTATTTCAGCAACAAATTGTTTTAGCAAACTAACAACATCAGATTTAAGTCTCATTAAGAAAGTCCAAGTCCATCTAGAATAGTCATCAACTATAGTAAAAAAATATCTCATGCCATCATATGTTTCAACTCTATAGGGACCCCAAACATCCATATGTAGAAGCTGAAAAACACATGTAGAACTACTAGTACTGTGTGGAAAAGGCAATCTTGTCTGTCTAGCAAGAGGACAGATATCACATTTATGTAAAGCAAACTTATTACCAAACTTGTGAAATGATGAAATCTTTCTGATGACTCCCATGGGAACATGTCCCAACCTTTGATGCCATATATTTGCATTTGCCTCCACACTCTGAATGGTTGTCATGCAATGGTGTGGTTGTAACATCTTGTTGTGATCATACTGACCAGGCTGCGAGTAGAAAGTGTAAAGTCCATCTTCCTCTTTACCAATCATTCTCACCTTCCCAGATCCTAGGTCCTGTAAAACACAACAACTTGGGTAAAATGTGACACAACAATTCAAATCTTTTGTCATTTGAGACACTGACAGAAGATTGAATTTGAAAGCTGGTACACACAATACTCTTCTAAGAACATCACCTCCTCCTATGTGACAATCTCCAACATGTGAAACCTTGGCAGAAGTACCAGTTGGCAGCTGAACTTGACCTGCATTCTCTACCATAACTGAATTACATAAACATGTATGGTTTCTTACTATATGATGGGATGCTCCAGTGTCTATAATCCACTTCAGAGAAGTATGATTACCTGTCATATTTGATGTACCACTTATATCTTCAAGTTTAGTTTGATTAAGCATTTTGAGTAATTTCTGATGTTGCAATGGAGTGAATAAAGGCATCTGAGAATTGTAATGTGAAGAAGGCATCTGAGATTCATTGTTATGTGAAGAAGAAACACTTGGAGGCTGGAGTTGCATCTTATTAGAGAATGATGATTGCATCATCTGAGGCATCTGAGAATTGTAAGATGATTGAACTGTTTCTGTCTTATCACATTGATACTGTTGAGACACATGTCCTGCATTATAGATAGAATTCCTAGCAACAATTGTATCTCTTTTACCTTTGTATTCAGCAGGATATCCAATTAGTTTATAGCAATTACTCTTAAGATGGCCTGTTTTGTGACAAAAATCACATTTTAGAAGTTTATTACAATCACTTCTCATGTGTCCTTTGATATTGCAGTAATCACAAAGAGCATTTGGATTATAAGATCTTCTAGGTTTATGACCACCAGGACCAGAATTAGACGTAAACATTGCAGTAGGAACCATATCAGTCATTACTCTACTTGATCCAGCTACCATTCTTTGGCTTTCATCTTGATTAACCATAGCATATGCTTGATTAATGCTAGGAAGTTGTGGCATTAACAGAATTTGGCTTCTAGCCTGACTATAATTGTCATTAAGCCCCATTAGAAACTGTAACATTCTCTGATGTTGTAATTGCTCAAAAAACTCTTTAGATCTAGAACATGTACAAGCTGGAGGAGGCATTATAGAATCATATTCATCCCACAAATCCTTCAATCTAGAGTAGTACAATGACACAGACGAGACACCTTGAACAAGAGTAAAAATCTCCTTATGCAGCTGAAAAATACGAGAGCTATTTACCTTGTTAAACCTTTCCTTAAGATCTTCCCAAATCAAGTATGAATTTGAGCATAGAGAACTCCACTGTGAAGATCTTTGCTTACATTGCACAATATCCACGAAACAACTATGGCATTACAGCGATCCCAAAGTTGAGTCAAATCCCCTGTGAACTGTGTCTTCTTCACTGTTCCATCGATAAATCCAACCTTATTCTTTCCAAGCAAAGCTAACTCCATAGCCTTGCTCCATAAAGTATAGTTATCACTTCCACTGAGTAAGATCCCAACATTCAACGATCCAGGTGAATCTGATGGATACAGATACAAAGGATGAAGATGATCGAAAGAAGGAGCTGAAGCTGGTATGGAAGTTTCTGAAGCAGTTCCTTGAACCTCCATGAAATCGAAGAAGAAGAAAATCAACTAATAAGAAGAAATTCAACTGAAATATGAAAATCCTTTACTGGATATGTAGGAATTGTTCAAATCTAGGCTCGTGTTGCTCTGATACCATGTTAAGAAACTGAATTGGAGAAAGAAAACTCCATTGAAAAGTAAAAGGAAGAACAGAGAAGCTATGAGGAAGAGGAGGAAAATTCTGATATTGAAACTTAACCGTACTAATGCTACTTACAAGCATATATAATGACTCAAAACCCCAACTAATTTACTGACCTTTTCTAACAAACTAACTAACTAACTATATTTACACTCTTAACAATGTGTAATTACAATTAGTAATTTTAGGGAACTTGTACACATTTAGTTAGTTCTTTTACAACCTCTCTCCTCTCTCTCCTACTTTCACTTGCTATATATACAAATACATATGCATAATATACAATTATCTAACCGATATACATATACAAATCACCTCTCTCCCACTCTTTTCCCGTTCTCTCTATCCTCTCTCCTCTCTCTCCCAGTCTCACTCACCTCTATCCTCCATATAACATGTAGTTTACGAAATGTAATTATCAAACTATAGCTATGGAGTGTAATTAAGCTATTTTTAAATGGCTATATGTGAAAGTTCCTCTACCTAAAAGATGGAAATAGCCTATTAAGACTATAAAAAGCCCATTTCATGGCCATGCCCACTTCTGTCGTGGTAAGAAATAAAAGTCCAGCCCAAGAAATAATTTGTAATTAAAGACGATTTAGAATTTGAAATTTTTTGATTTCGAGTTTAGAATGTTATCAAGGTTTATACTAATTTGCTAGGTTTAGAATTCATTATTATACGTATTTAGTAAATTACAATTACACATAAAAATGAGTTTAAAACATTAAATTTTGATTATTATAATGTACCAACTGTATGCCCCTCTATAATTGATCAGGGTGTTGGGTTTAATTTGAGACGGATTCTAAATTTTAAATTAGTATGTTGTCATATACGATTTTGAAATACTGGATTCGTTCGAACACAATATGTATCCCTTTTTTTTTGTTATTAAAAAAAAGAAATCCTTTTCCAGATATCTAAATAGGAGTTGTACAACACAATCATTCAGTCTATGTATGGTGCCCACCTTTGGATGTTTAATAATTCAAGTTCTTTTGTACATTAAGTTTTCGATATGAGCGATATATTATAGAAGGGACACACCTATAAGGGTTTTATCGTACACAATTTTACCTTATATTTCTGTAAGATACTACTTTCACAATTCAAAACGTGTAACCTTCTAATCACATAACAATAACTTTATCGATTACACCAGACTCATTTTTAAAAGCGAGTTCAATTAAACCAATACTTTTATCTTAGATCACGTATATACCAACAAATCTTTTAACATAAATTACAACAAATCATATGAAACTACAAATAGAATTTGAGGAGAATAAAATATACACAACGTTATTTTTATATTTACAAAATAAAAAGGTTTCCAACTAACCCTCAACGCCTCTCATATTTATCGAAACATAAAATTAATAATATAACTAAATCAATAAATTTAAATATTGAATTCGTCTCTCGAACATCGTCCTACACAAACATGGGCATTTGCATGTTATTTCTGCCCATTTAAGGCCCCCAAAGTTGAATGGCAGACATGACATACCACTCTGCTAATACAAGCCAAATATCCCAGCTCCTTCTAGCTTTGAACACGGTGTTCAAGGGCGGAGCTAAAATTTTATTTATAAATTTAATAAAATTTTAAAATTATAATTTACATTTTTTTCATTAATTTTAAAATATTTATAAAATATATATGTAAATTCTTGTGTTAAAACCAATTAATTTGGATAAATTAGAATTTTAAATTAATAAGTTTTAAATTTTGACTCTACTAATAATGAAACATCTATAAACAATTCTAATTATTGTTCCCTCATTCTTGAAAATAATTAAAAGGAAAAAAGTCTCCTCTATATATTTACAATGTAATTTTTTACGAAACTATTTGATATAATTTATGTCCTTCTTCAATTTCTTTTATAATTATTTTTTAATATTTAATATATAAAGTATGGGTACATGTCAAAACTCGAAACCATCACAAAATATGAAACTCTGATTAATATTTTATAAAGAATTGCAAATAGACTAATTTTTGTTCCCTTATTATTGAAATAATTAAAAGGAAAAAAGTCCCCTCTATATATTTACAGTGTAATTTTTTTTATTATATCATAGACATAATTTATGTCCTTCTTCGATTTCTTTTATAATTATTTTTGAATATTCAATATATAAAGTATGAGTACATGTCAAAACTCTGGACCATCACGAAATATGAAACTCTGATTAATATTTCATAAAGAATGGCAAATAGACTAATTTTTGTTCCCTCATTCTTGAAATAATTAAAAGAAAAAAAGTCTCCTCTATATAATTACATTATTTACATTGTAAATTTTTTTACGAAACCATAGATATAATTTATGTCCTTCGATTTCTTTTATAATTATTTTTTATTATTAAATATATAAATTATGGGTACATGTTAAAACTCTGGACCATCACGAAAAATGAAACTCTGATTAATATTTTATAAAGAATGGCAAATAGATTAATATTTAAAATGGTAAATTTATAACTTAAATTCAAAAAATTGGAGAACAAATTAAGTAGCTCTAAAATTAGTATTGACATACACTTAGCTAATTAATATTATCACTATCATTAATTTCCTCCCATAATATAAAGTAAGAGTCAATAATTAATTAGTTCATTTTGATATTCCTAGCTATCTAGTCATTAATTAAATGTAAATTAATTAATGACATTCATGTCCTTCACAATTTTTGTTATATAAAAATTATCATATAAATTAGGGCATGTACAACTTGTTGCCACACTTGCACCTCCATGCTTCTGGGTAGTACTCTGCAGTCACCGGAGTCCCCGGCGGCACCGCCACGTGGACCGGATGACATGGCGTGCATCTGCCGCATTTCAAGATGCACCGCGGCGGCGATGATCCTAAGCCACCTAAACTCCTCCTTGTATTTGTCGTCGCCTTCTTGAATCTCTGGCTCAAAATAATATCAAGATTTAATTTATTTTTAAAAAAAGAAAGAATATATTTAAAATTATAATAACTATACCATACCTATGGACATCAAATATTTATTAAAATATTTTATATGTTAGATAGTCGAAGAATCTATTAGAAACACTATAATTGTCTATTAATGTAAAATTAAGGTTTGCGACTTGCTTACACACTATTTTTGGATTTTCCAATCTTATGAAATTACATCAAATATGTTATTGTTGTAACTATTAAAAATTTAGATAAATATAAAAAATGATATATAATTTGAGGGGAAATTATATATACTATATAATATCAATGTGTTTGGTTAAATTTTCAAAGTTTTAAGTTTTTGGTTGAGTTATTTTGGACTATAATCTATTATTCCTCTATTTCAATTTGTTTTATCTGTATTTTCTTTTTAGTCTGTTTTAATAGAGAATGTCTCTTTTTTCTTTTAATAACTTTTTAATTCAAATTTTTTACCTGACATACTTAAGACTATATAATTAAAGATAAAGAATATTTTTAATATATTTAATATATCTTTTATTTAAGATAATAAAATTTAAAAAAAAATTCGTTATATTTTTTCTTAAATTTTGTATAATATTAAAATATGATAAATAAATCGAAAACGATAGGTTACTAAACAAGTGGGCTTAGTTACACCATATGGGAGACATTGTTCCGTTTAAAGCGCTGGTTGAAAAGAAAATTCTAAAATTGAGACTGAATACTTAGGATGAAGACAAAAAGGACTACTGATTTTTATATTTTTGGAATTATTTGATAATTGGGAAAGCACAATAAGAGAAAAGAAAGACTTTTACGTGAGGTCGGTCTCATCATTTACATAATTTTTTTTCATTTATCGATTGATCATGTGAATCTGCATTCAATTATCGATACATAATGTGTAGAAAAAACATCCATATCTAGAAAGTAGCTTTTATGATCGAATCACTCGTAAGGTACATATAGTGATCTAAAGGTCGATCTGATATTGATTGATGAAAACTACAACGCATGCAATAGAAGTAGAATGAGTCATTGATATTTGTCTACGAGAGGCTCACACTCGTGTCTATTCGAAGTAGCTTCATGATCGAATCATTCCTAAGGTACTTAGTGATCTAAAGGTCGATCTGATATTGACTGATGAAAAATACCACACATGCAATAGAAGTGAAATGAGTTTTCGATATTTGTCTATGAGAGACGCACTAATGTCTATTTGAAGAATTATTTGAAAATTGTAGAAGCACACAAGAGAAAAATAAATAAACATAACAAATGAACGAAATCACTAAAGAGAAAATTTCATAAATAGCATTATTAGTGGATATTTTTGTAATATACAACAAGAGTTTGTGTTTTTTGTAAATGTATATAGTAATATTTTTTTTTCAAAACGTAGCAAATTGCATTATATCTACACGTAAAAAATTTAATTGTAATTGAAATTGTATGTATATTTGGGAGAACCAACACGTAAGATATTTGTTGTATGTAACATATTGAAGTAATGCTTATTGCTAGGGCTTTTAGATCCACAAATATGTGTATCTTATATATTTTCTATAAAAATATATTATGTTACTATCTTTTTTTTAAAAAAAAAAATATTACTATAAAAAGTATCATAATGTATACTCACTGTATTGAAAATATGATCAAATTTACCCTTGTTTTAGGTATTTTGTATACAAGTCAGTTTGAATTGACGTATTTTAGATATTTTCAAGTTAAAATATTTTTTTAACGTTTGACAAAAAAATTTTAAAAAAAATTATTTTAAAGTCAAACTAATAAAAAAAAGTCATAAATTAGAAATTCCAATTTGAATTTTGACTTATAAGTCATAATTAAGCTATAGACTCATTCAAACATGCTCGAAGA